TTGGAGGAGGAAGTGTGTCATGGGGGGGTGGGCTTTGAGATTTCAAAAGACCAAGCCAGGCCCAGTGATTCTCTCCCTCCTCTCTGTCTCTCTGTCTCTGTCTCTGTCTCTGTCTCTGCCCGTGGTTCAGGACGTAGTTCTCCACTACTGTTCCAGCACCTTCTACGCTACCATGCTCCCTGCCATGACAACAGTGAACTCTAAAATGGTAAGCAAGACCCCAGTGCTTTCTTTCATAAAAGTTGCCTTGGTTATGGCGTCTCTTCCCGACAATAGAACAGTGACTGAGACATACAGTCTAGGGGTCTTGGTCAGGTTCATTTTCTCTGCCCGTTAAAGAATTAAAAGGCAGGGAAGATCTTGAACGCAGCTGGCAGCGGCAGAGAAAGCTCAAGCACACAGACAGAATGGGCAGTTGGAGAAAGGTGTTTATTGGGGGTGAGGACACCCACACATGTGGCCGCACAGAGAACAAGACCCTCTGCAAAGCATAACGAGGACTCGGGAAGCTGAAAATTCAGTCTCTTCTGAGGGTTGGGGTTTTTAAAGCCTGGGAAGGCTCTTGCTCCCCTGATTCAGGGTGGGTCTGTTAGAAGAAAGGATGGTTGACTGGCCCACAATGGTTACACAACACACTCCCTAATCAGGCGTGGACTTGTTGAGCCAGTCCATCAGCAGGGGGGCCTGCTGGTGGGACACGAGAGCTTAGGGGGCCTTTGTCTGAAGCTGCCAGGCTTTTGTCTCAAGTCAGGAGGCTGAGGAAGAGGCTGCCCATCTTGGAAATTTACCACAATTATTACCTAGCCATGGCCCTTCTCCCTGTCTGCCTGCCTACCAGGGAAATCTGTCTAACTCCTAGGATCTCAAAGGGTTCTGAGCTGCAGAGTAACTTGCTCTAAAACCGAAACTTTATTTATTTATTTATTTATTTATTTATTTATTTATTTATTTATTTATAAGACAGGGTTTCTCTGTGTAGTTTTGGTGCCTGTCCTGGATCTCCCTCTGTAGACCAGGCTGGCCTCGAACTCACAGAGATCCGCCTGGCTCTGCC